TTTTCAATGCAGCATAGTATTCCATTGTGTGGATATACTATAGCTTCTCTATCCATTCATTTGTTGATGGGTCCTTAGGTTGCTTCCAACTCTTTGCTATAGCAACACAATCTTATATAGTGCAACGCTGGAGGATGAGAGCATCTATGCAAAGACCTTTTTAAAAAAAATTTTCTGAATTTTATTATTATTAATTTAAATGAAAATTTACAGAGACTTTGGATTTCCATTCATTCATTCTTGCACAGAATTTTCTCCCAGCCCCCACCCCACTTCACTTTTCTCTTTGTAAAGTAAAAGAAAAATTCTTTCATTGTTATACAATCCCTCCCCCAAGTTCACTCCACCATGCAGCCTTTGTTCTGTACTCTTGTCATGACAATAATAATCATTTATCGCTTTTAAACAGTTCTCTCCCTCATCTGTTTCAATGCAGTATACATAATTTATCCGTTTTTTTTTTTTCAGTCTCCCCCAACCCTGATGTCAGTCCCGTTTTACAACAGCAGGACTATGTAGTATTTGTCCTGCAAAGACCTTTTTTAAAGAAGCACAGACAGTGACTATCCACATGGGCTTTACCTATGAGCTGCATAGGAATCAGACTGGCTAAATCTTTGGGAAGAGTGAATACCTTTTCAATCCATATTCAGAATAGATTGTCTGGGAGGCTGGGCTCTATGAAGAAAAATGTGACATCAGGATTGGAGGAAGACTCATCAACAATCTGAGTTATACAGATAACACAATAATAAGATTGGCACAGGATAGAGCAGGGTTTAGGGCTGTTGTACATCGGGTTGCTATGTGTCACAAACAACTTGATAGCACATAAAAACAACATGGGGGAGGGGGGAATCACCGGAGAAGCTCCATATCAACAGTCAAAATCAGGCCAGGTGCTGACTGTGGAATAGACCATCAATTACTCATGTGCAATTTCAAGTTGAAGTTGAAGAAAATAAGTCCAAAAGAGCCAAAATATTACTTTAAGTCTATCCCACCTGAATTTAAAATCATCTCCAGAACAGAGTTGAGACACTGAATACTAAGGATCGAAGAAGAGATGAATTGTGGGATGACATCCAAGATTTCATCCATAAAGAGAGCAAAAGGTCGTTACAAAGACAGAGGAAAACAAAAAGACCAAAATGGATGTCACAAGAGACTGCAAATTACACTGAGGCATTGAGAAGCCTAAACAAAAGGAAGTAAGAGAGATGAACAGAAGATTTCAGTGGGCAACTTGAGAAGACAAAGCAAAGTATTATAATGGAATGTGCAGAGAGCTGGATTTGGAGAATAAAAAAGGAATTATACACTCAGCGTTTCTCACTGAAAGTACTGAAAAACAAATTCAAGCCTCAAGTTGCAATACTGAGTGATGCAATGAGAAAAATTTTGACTGGTTCAAGAAGCATCAATAGAAGATAGAGGGAACACATGGAGTAAGTATACAAAAACCCGAATTAATAGACCCTGAAACATTTCAGGAAGTAACATAGGATAAAGAGCCCATGATGATGAAGGAAGAGCTCTGAGCTGCATTGAGGGCATTGGGGGGGGAAAAAAATCAGGCTCCAGGAATTGATGGGATACTATTTGACATGTTCCAAATATAGATGCAGCCATGGATATACTCAGCAGTCTATGATAGGGAATTTGGAAGACAGCTATTTTGCCAGCTGACTGGAAGAGACCCATTTTTGTTCTTACTCCCAAGAAAGGTTATCCAGTAGAATGTGGAAAGTATTGAAAAATATTATTAATATTAAATGCAAGAAAAATATTGCTGAAGATCATAAAAAAATGTCTAAACCAGTACACTGACAGAGAACTGCCAGAAATTCAAGGTGAGTTCAGAAAAGACCATAGCACCAGAGATATCAGTGCTGATGTCAGATAAATCTTAGCTGAAGGCAGAGAATATCAGAAGAATGTCTATTTGCATTTTATTGACTATGCAAAGACATTTGACTGTGTGGATCATAACAAACTATGGCTAACCTTGAGTTGACTGAGAATTTCAGAATAATTAGGCTTATATGAAATCTATACTGAGGCCAAGGAGCTGTTGTCTGAATGGAGCAAGGGAACACTGAATAATTTAAAAAGAGGAAAGGTGTAAGTCAGGGTTGTATCTTTCCTCCATAGCTGTTCAATCTCTAAGCTGAGAAAATTATTAGAGAAGTTGAACTTTATGAAAAAAGTGTAGCATCAGGACTTGAGGAACATTTATAAATAACCTGTGTTATGCAGATGACACAAACTTGCATGCTGAAAGTGAGGAGAACTTGAGGCACTCACTGCATAGGGTCATGGACTGCAGCCTCCAATGTGGGTTGCATTTCAACATCAGGAAGACAAAATTCCTCCCCACTGGGCCAATAGACAACATCACAAAAGATGGAGAAAAGATGGAATTGTCAAAGATTTCATCTTGCCTGAATTTACAGTCTACACCCTTGGTACTAGAAGTAAGGATTTTGGGAGATGTATATAATTGGGGAAATTTGCTGCCAGGGATCTCTCCAAAGACCTGAAAACAATAATATCAGTTTAAAGACTAGTTGTGCTTGATTCAAGCCGGTCTTTCCTATCACCTACTATGCATTTGAGAGCTGGACAATGAATAAGAATGTCAGAAGAAGATTCAAAGCATTTGAGTTGTACCATTGAAGAATAGTACCCCACTGGCGAATAATATCCTATGGACTGTCAAAAGAACAAACAAGTATGTCTTTGAGAAAGTGCAATCAGAGTGTTGCTAGCAGGCAAAGATGATGATCCTTCATCTCACGTATTTTCAACATGTTATTAGGAGATGCTATTTCTTGGGAAGAGACAGCATGCTTGACAAAGTGGAGTCAGTGAAAGAGAGGAAGACCCCCAATGAGATGGATTGATACTGTGTCTACAACAATGGACTCATTTGTGTTGGGGATGATAAAGAATGCACAGTGATAGGATTGGGATCAGATCTGTTATTAATAGGGTCATTATGAGGTATGCTCAAATAGAAAACAGTAACAATGAAAACAAAGGTGGAAGATGAGAAGGTTGTGTAGGACTTGGTGTTTAATTCTGCTATATATAAAATGATATCTGCATTTCATTGACTATGTAAAAGCATTTGACCGTGTGGATCACAACAAACTGTGGCTAACTCTGAGAAGAATGGGAATCCCAGTACACTTGATTCTGCTTGTGTGAAAGCTATTCCTGGACCAGGAGGTAGTAGTCAGAACAGGTCAAGGATACACTACATGGGTTAAAATCAGAAAGAGTGCATGCCAGGAATGTGTACTATTTCCATACCTATTCAATCTATATGCAGAACAGATCATATGGGCGGATGGGTTCTATGAGGAGGAATGTGGCATCAGGATTGGAGAAGACTCATCAACAACCTGCATTATGCATATGACACAATCTTGCTTGCTGAAACTGAGGAGGACCTGAAGGCCTTGCTGTGGAAAGTCAAGGACTGCCTTCACTATGGATTGAAGCTCAACATCAAGAAAACAAAGATTCTCACCACTGGAATAATTGGCAACATCATGACAGAGAGGGAAGAGATTGAGATTGTTAACAGCTTCAGTTTGCTTGGCTCCACAATCAACACTCTTGGTACCAGTAGCCAGGCAATTAAAAGACAAATTGCATTGGGAAAATCTGCTGTCAGGGACATCTCCAGAGTACTGAAGAGCAATGATGTTGGTCAATCTTGAGACCAAGGTGTACCTGATCTAAGCCATGGTCTTTACAGTTACATACTATGCATCAGAAAGCTGAACAATGACTAACTAGGGATGATAGGACAATTGATGCCTTTGAGCTGTGGTACTGGAGAAGAGTATTGAATATATCATGGACTGCTAGGAGAACAAACAGGTTCTACCTAGAGAGGGTCAAACAGGCTGCTCCTTGGAGGCAAGAATTCCGAAGATCTGTCTGACATACTTTGGACATGTTGCAAGGAGGGACCCGTCCTTGGAGAGGAACATCATGCTTGGGAGAACAGTGCAAGAGAGGAAGATCCTCAATAAGACGAATTGACTAAGTGACTGGGGTAATGGGGGTAGGTGTGTCTGAGACGATAAGATTGGCTTAGGATAGAGCAGGGTTTAGAGCTAGGAGTTGCAGGTGGCTTGACAGCACATAATACCACCACCACCACCACAACATGCATGAAATAGCTATGAAAACTAAAATTCACAGGAGGAGTTTGCCCATCTTTCTCCCACAAAGTAGCTGGTATATTCGAACCACATGTCTTCGGGTTATCTGTGGAGCTACCCAGAGACTACAGATCAGATGCCAATTCAACAACACTTTACAACAATGCATTTACCTATTATTTTAATGAGACTTTTGCAGAGAGACAGAAGAATTTTATAGTGAATTAATTTTTTATTGCATATATTTTTAGATAGATCAAATGGTATGAAAAGTTAAGTAGATGGGTTATACAATGTAGAAAAAGTATCAATAACTTTTCACCAGGAAACTCAGTATACTATATATTTATTACACCAGTTTATATATAAAATTTGAATACACTTTTCCAAACCAGAGTCTTCCAATACCCCTCAATCCCCACGTATCAAATTATACAACCCTATGATTAATCCCAGCCTCCCTTACTCCCACCCCCCTGCACATCCTCACCCCTCTGTTATATTGTTAAAGATACAAACATTGGATTAGAAGTTACCTCAAATTACTTAGTTTCCCCCAATATAAAATGAGCATGAAAATAACATATGAGGTTATTATGATATTTAAATATTTAATGACCAAAGGAGCAACCTAATGTCTAGGAGGGGAAAAAACTCAATAATTTTAACCATTATGATTTACTTAAATAATAGTAATTGCTTTAAAATATGCAGGTAGTATCTTCGGTTATTTTTTCCTTCTATGGTATACTTTTAAAAAGTATTTTAAAATTTGCCTACTCTAGTTTTTCTTCTCGGTTCATCCTCTCTCTAATATAGAAAAATTGATGGGACCAGTGAGGAAGAGGATACCCTTGAGCTGAATGAAGAAGGAAGGCCAGTTCCGGTGTCCAGGTCGAGTCACCCCCTCTGCGACTGCCACTGCTGTGGTGTCCCCAAACGTTACATCATCGCCATCATGAGCGGGCTGGGGTTCTGCATTTCCTTTGGGATTCGGTGCAATCTTGGAGTTGCCATCGTGGAAATGGTCAACAACAGCACTGTGTATGTTGATGGAAAACCAAAAATCCAGGTTGGTGCCAATCTGGGGTGGAAACTCCACAATTGGGTAAAGAAATACTTTGCCAGGTGAAATGAAGCCCTGCGATTCTTTCACTAAGGTGACACAAATGTAGTTTCCAGGTGCCAGGACCTATGCAAGGTGGCTGGGGCTGGAATGATGAACAGAATAGAGGACTGGTGGAGGTTTCATATAAGTGACCGTTTGGGTTGTAAATGTGCAGGGTGTTTGAGGTCATGGAGAAGGGAGCCTGGCCCAGATAATGGCATTGTGAAACACTTTCCAGAGAAACTGATGGCTGGACATGAAATATCAGGAGGAATTTGCCAGATAAACAGAGTTTTGATAGTGTGAAAGAAATAAATGGTTTGAAAAAGATGGAATAACAAGTGTGAAGGCATATAGCAGATTGAGAGATTGAGACAGAAAAACAGAGAACCCAGGCAGGAAGGAGAAGGAAATAGTGGGAGGGGAGGGAGGAAAGTGGGAGGGGAGGGGGGAAAGGAAAAGAGAGTGAGAGAATCGTATATTTTAGGAACTGTGTCACGTTTCTTGTTTGTCATGGACTTCTTTGGCAATCCAGCGCAGAATCTGAATCTTTGTCAACATGATTTTTAAACTTGGTAACATAAAACACATAAGATTATAAAGGAAACTATATTAAAATGTTGGGTTGTTATGTGCTGTCAAGTAGGAACTGACTCGAAGCTGACCCTCCACAGAGACTGTAAATTGCACAGGAGGAGATTGCCCATCTTTCTCCTCACTGACAGTAGGTGGAATGCACCTTTGGGTTGACGGTGCAATTCCTAACCCATCAGGCCACCAGAGCTCCCAAGATTAAAATACAGATACCAAGACAGTTAAAAACCCCAAACTGGGCAGGATATTTGATGACAAAATAAAGTATTAGCTAGAAGAATACAGCAGTGGGTCTAAACAGCCACTGCAATTTTGAAGTTCAAACTGTAAATGAGAGTTTGAAATATTGAAACAACCAGAATATGATATAAATATCTTTATGATCGCTATGGGTGACACAGTCAAGAATACTCAGAGTACTCCAGGTAGGTTGCTTATGGTCACTATTGAAGAAAAAGCTACATTATGGTTATTAGTGAAAATAATGATGTCAGAATTTCTCCACCCAAGTTCATAAACTTCTTTCTAGGATTCCCTCCGTAATCTTCACGTTGCAAATCGTTAGTAAGAAAGGCTCCAGATTTATCCTCCAGGTTCACCTCTAGTAGGTGAGCAGCAAGAGATGGAGTCACATCATTAGAGATCTGGGAAGTCATGTAGGGAGGAAGTCACGTAGGATGGGTTTGAACAGAGACGTGGTCGGTACTGCAGAATGACCACTGCCCAAGGGGAGAAGTCTGGATCAAAGTGAGATGAGAGTGGAGGCAGCAATCAAAAGTGGAAACCGTCATAGTTTGAGCAAGCATACTTCTGAATCAGTGGAAAGAGAAAATCGGGTTTGTTTCTTAAATGATAGCAGTCCTGCTGGTGCCATCCAGCTGCTTCCAACTCACAGTGACATCAGTGGAGCTCAAGGTAGAGCTGAGCTCCATAGTCACTTTGGTGGAAGTAGATTACCTTTCTTCTGAGGTGCTTTTGATGAGTGTTAACCACCAAGAGTTTCAGTCGTCAGCCAAGTGGGTTAAATGTTTGTGTCACTCAGGGACTTTTCTTCAACTATAAGCCTAGAGACAAGAGAAAGACCCTCAACCAGGTGGACTGACACAGTGACTGCAGCAATGGGCTCAGGTATGTCAGAGATGGTGAGGATGGCCCAGGACAGGACAGGATTCAGGTCTGTTGTTCTTAGGGTTGCTATGAGCCACACTTGGCTTGATGGCACCTAACCACAATGAACTATTAAGGCTATGAGAGATAAAGGAAACGAAAATGCTTGCCAAGTGTAGACCGAATAAATACATGCCTTATTCAATCACACACACAGAGAATAGAATGTCTCATGTGGAAATCCAGAGAGATGAAACCGAAACCCAATTCCACCGTAGAGTAGAATTCGCCCAAGAAATTCTAGAGCAGGGTTTCTGAGACTGTAAATTTTTATGAGTGCAGATTACTTAATCTTTCTTGCAAGATGGGTTCCAACCCACCACCTTTCATTTAGCAATTTAATACTTAACCCACTGGGATGCTAGGGTTCCTTATGCAGAGAGATACCTTTATTCTCTGGACCTCATATGTATTTGGAGAAATATCCAGAGCATAGTTTCCCAAACTTGTGTTCAGGAAGACTGTGCTACATGGTGCTACATGAAATGGCCAGTACTTGGTCACAAAGGCTAAATGAGGGTCTTCTCTGTGACTCTCCAAAGCCTTACCTACCTGTGCTAAGCCTGGCGGCTCTCCTAGAGGGAGAGTGGAATGCAGGTATTCCTGGACTAACCTACCCTAAGACACTGTACTCCAGGCTTACTTTATGAATATTATAACCTGCAACAGTCTCCTGCCAAGGGCTAGTTTAGGAAAATTGGTTTCAATGCATTAAAAAAAGAGTTCTTTAGTTTGCACTAATTTTTTTTCCTCTCTCTCTCTTTCTTCTACATTCTTCTACAACAGGAGAATAGCTCCATGGAGATTTTTCATGAATCAATCATCTGTTTGATGCTACAGCTGAGTCCATCCTACAAGAATAAACCTAGTTTTTGTGTGTTTGGAGAGGGAGGGTATGCATACATTTTTAAAAAGAACAAAATAATGTATTTTAGCTAGTTTTCAGATGTGTATCACATGTATTCTTTCGGCCCTTTGTGAGCCAGGTCAACTAATTAAAACTTGTCTGCTGAGACCCAGATCGGAAGGAGATGCTGTTTTCCATTTGTTTGTTGCCTGAAAAGACAGGCTTGGGTCAATAGAGTCAGCTTTGAGGCATGTGGCCAAGACATTGTGATAAACCAAAGGAACAATGCTAGTGTGTACCATCTAGTGTCTATGGTTTTGCCTTGTGGAGTTTTAGAAAAACTGATTAAGATCTAAAATATGCTTTGCATCATTTTCTCTGGCCTCAATATAAGGGGTTTGGTAGCATTTCAGAAGCTCTAACATAGCTTCAATTTATAGACCATCTTTTGTTCAAATACAGCATGGCTCAGAAAACAACTGAGCATGTTCAAACAGTAAGAAATGTATTAGGAAAGCCTAGAGATGGCAAAATATTTTCTGTATTTCTTTTATATAATATATAAAAAATAATATTTATTATACCTTTTATATCTTTTATAGTTTTTTCTAAAGTAGTAATATTTTAAAATATTTTAAAATTCCTTCTTTAAAAAAGTAGTTTGTCACAAGCTTTTACATACTAAAAGGAAGAAAAATGCCCTCCCCCCCAAAAAAGTAGTTTGTTATTTGATTTGTCATCAAATCATAGGAACCTCTATATACAACAGAACAAAACATGTTTGTACAATGTGTGCCCAGAACATGGGGTACAGCCCTGCATGGAACAGAAATCCAGGCTGTGCTCCATCATGGAGAGGGAAAGGAACTTTTTTTTTATTTTATTTTTTTATTATTGAAGCATTTATTGAATTAAATGGTACTAGCAACATGGCTACTACCTTCAAGTCATTGCAATCACCAAAGGAGGTATAGACAGGCATTGTTCACCTTGACTTTGCCTGTTTTCTTCTCCAAGTCCTTGGTATAAACAAAAGAAAATAAGTCATAGGCAGAGGACATACTACCCAGGTCCCTAAGCCAGGTACACAGCAGAGGAAACCTCACCCTTGTTAACCTGCTGAAGAATGAGGAGGTGGGTCTTGAGTAGGTAGTTAGAAGCCTCAGTCCATTCCTGGGAGGGAGCAAAGCTGTAAGTCAAGTCCTTTGGTAGCTTGAGTCTTCTTCACCTGTTTCTTCAGCATTCCACATAAATGAGTCAGGTGTCTATTTTTTTAACGTGTTTTAGATACAAACTATAAGACTTTGCTCTCTCAAGGTCTACAGGTATTAAGTGTCTCCTGGAGTCTTCTCATGGTGGCTGAAACAAGGCAGCTGCAAACAGTACTTGTGATCCTGTGATCCTGTGTCCATCTTCTGTCCCGTGTTACTTGCTTGGTGAACCAGGAGGGTAAACTCCTGAATCCAGCATTGCTCTCCTCTGCGCTGTCTCCTTGGCAACACTGTGGTTTAGCCGCCTCAGCCTCTCCTGAGCATTCTGCAGAATGTTGTTGACCAAGACAACTCGGCGCCGGGCATTAAAGTAACTTCTTCACGTAGGGGTCAAGATCCAGGGCCACTTTCTGATCCTCATTGATACGACACAGTTCTGTGGCTAGGTTGTCAATCTGTTCCCGGAGTTCTACCTGACTCTCCCTGACTGCGTGGACCTGAGAGTTGAGCTGTTGCACAGCCGATTGCAGAAACTCAAGAAGCCCCTCGGCGAACAGGTCACGACCTGCAGGCCCTGCTACCGGCATCCCGGCTCCAGACACAGCGGCGGAACCAGTCCCTGCCATCATGAACTACCCGGACGCCTGGAACCTGCCGCCAGAAATGAACTTTTATACAATTCCACTCAAACCTCACCTAGGCAGCTAGGTTCCAGGTTGTTATGTGAAATCAGCATTATGACAAAAAGGAACATGGCTGCCTCATATGACTACCAAATATAGTGGATGACTGCATTGTTACATAGCTGTCACATTAGCTCATTACTTAGTGCCATTGAGAATCTTGGTCCAGTCAAGTTGACACATAACCATAATTATGAAAGCCAGGATTACTCTTGCTTCATTTCTCAACATTTGCTACTGCCATACACATGTCCTTGTTGTTGTTGTTGTTATGTGCCGTCGAGTCGTTTACGACTCATAGCGACCCTATGCACAAAATAGCTTTTTCACTACTGTTGTAAATGCAAAATGCCAGATAATGAGATAGTCGTTAAGTGAGGGTAGGTGTAGTTTCATCGGATGGGAGAGGCTATGCGGGGTTGGGCTGGACTACAGAGGAACTAGATAATCCTTGTTAAGATCTCTAGCTTGTTTGTAACCACATGGTTTCCGCATCAATCTACTTCTCCTTGTCCCTCCACAGACTACTTGTCTTTCTCACGCATTCTTACTACTCTCCAAAGCGTTATTTCTTGGAGTCTTTGCCCTGTGGAAAGCTAATTGAGTTGGCCCTGATTCCAGGGGACCAAATTCAAGAGCTTACTGCGGAAGGAAGAGAGAGTGAGTACGATCATGGAGCCTGATTGCCTGAGCCCAGTCTATGGCCTGGTTATGTCAATTTAGATGTCTAGTCAGCTGGGGTGATAATCAAGGAAGATCTCTATGGATAAACGAGACATCTGAGTCCAAGGCAGAGACAGGAAGTGTGAACTGGAGGATAGTATTTAACATTTCTAACAGTATTTTTTAGAACTATTTAGATTCTTTATTGTGAGCTGAAAAAGGTTAATGTGTGGAAGAGAGAAATCTTTTTTTAAAAAAAATTTTTTTAATTGATTTTCATATAGAGAAATATCTTTTCTATTCTTCTTGTTAGGTGGTGTTGAATTGAGTATGACTCATAGCAGCCCTATGAACAACAGATCTAAACCCTATGCTATCCTGTGCCATCCTCCATCAATTCTCACATACCTGAGCCCATTGGTGAAGCCACCAGTGTCAATTCATCTGGTGAAGGTCTTCCTCTCATTCGCTGATCCTTCATCTTCCCAAGCGTGATGTCCTTTCCCAAGGAATACAACAACGTGCCCAAAGTATGTGAGATGAGTCTTCACCATCCTTGCCTCCAGGGCACACTCCGGCTGCACTTTCTGCACATGTTTGTTCTTTTTGTAGTCCATAGGAGATTCAATACTCTTCTCTAACACCATAACTCAAAGGCATCAATTTTTCTTCTGTCATCCTTACTCATTGTCCAGATCACAGATGCATAGCAAATGATTGATAAGAGTATGTCCTGAATCAGGCACCCCTTAATTGTCAAACTGACATTATTTGGACAGGTTCTTGACAGCAGACTTTCCCAATGAAACACATCTTTTGATTTCTTGATTGCTAGTACCAAGGATATTGATTGTGGGTCCAAGTAAGATGAAATAATTGATAAGATCAATCTTTTCTCCATTTATCATGTTGTTGCCTATTGGGCCAGTGGTGAAGATTTTTGTCTTCTCGATGTTAAGGTGTAATCATATTGAAGGCTATAGTACTTGATGTTCTACAGCCAACATTTCAAATCCTCTTCACTTTCAGCAAGCAAGGTTGTGTTATCTACATAACACAAGGAGTGGATGAATGTTCCTCCAATCCTGATGCTACATTCCTATTCATAAAGTCCAGCTTCTCTAATGATCTGCTCAGCATAAGATTGAATTTGGAGAAAGTTATGGAGAAAGGCTACAGTGCTGATGCACATCTTTCTTGATTTTTTTTTATTTATTTTTTTTTAATTTTATTATTTTCGCGTGCATGTACAGTCAAATCAGATCTGACTGGTACAGGAGGAGATTGTCCCTCCTTCCCCGGCAGAGCATCTGGTGGATTCGAACCGTTTGCCCCTGGGATTGTGGTTGCAGGTACTTGCCACTAGGCCACCAGAGCTCCCCTATCTTTCTTGATTTTAAACCATGTAGTTAGTGCTCTCTTGCTCTGTTCTCACAATGTCTTCTTAGTCTAGGTATAGGTTTTGTATGAGCATATTGAGTGTTCTGGAATATCCATTCTTCTCAATGTTATCTACAACTTTTTTATGATTCATACAGTCAAATGCCTTGGCATAATAATAAAAAAAACCCACCACACAAAACACCAACAAACCCCAAACCCATGTAAATAAACATTCTTTTGCTTTCCTCAGCTTTCAGCCAGTAGAAGCCTGTCTACTAAAAGATGACTCTCCTTGTTGTTGAAGTATGGACGGCATGGTTTCTAGCATTACAGTGACATGAAAACCACCACCACCACCACCACCACCATCACTACCACCACCACAGTACAAAAATGTAGGAATAGGTGCCTTCTCCAAATGTTTGTTGAATAAAGGAACGAAAGGATGACCCAGTAGGTAAAATACTCACTGAAAACTGGTGGTAAAGTTATGTATATCTCGTTTCTTATTTCCAGATAGCACAGTTTAACTGGGATCCGGAGACAGTGGGCCTTATCCATGGATCTTTTTTCTGGGGTTATATTGTGACACAGATTCCAGGCGGTTTCATTTCAAACAAGTTTGCTGCTAACAGGTAAGATAAGTAGATACAACATGACTACTGCACTGTTGCCTATGATCTGTACATTTGCAAAATTTGTATAAGTCAGTTCTCAACTTGGAGATGTAGACTGAAGGATGGACAACATGTAGGTAGATTAGATTCACAGATACTGATCCTCAATGATCTTGTTTTTGAAAATATGATTATATTGACATTCCCACCCTTCCCCAATCTAATATGTTTTGCTATATGTTTAAGACCAAGAGACATTTGCTTGAATAGAACAAGGGATACTGCATGGTTTAAAATCAGGTGGGGGTTTTTTAGGGTCAATATTGTGTGTTTCCATCATTTACATAATGAGCAAATAATCTGAGAAGTTGAACTCTATAAAGAAGAACATAGCATCAGGGATGGAGACACACTCATTGATAAGCTATAATGTATGTTGTTGTTATGTGCTATCAAGTTGCCTGTGACTCATAGTGACCCTATGTACAACAGCCCTAAACCTGCTCTATCCTGTGACAATCTTATTGTTTCCAACACACCTATCCCCATTACCCCAGTGACTGAATCAATCCATCTCATCGAGGGTCTTCCTCTACTGTGCTGTCCCTCCACCCTCCCAAGCATGACGTCCCTCTCCAAGGACTGATCTTGCTTTGCAACATGTCCAAAATACGTCACACAGAACTTCAGAATCCTTGCCTCCAAGGAGCAGCCGGGATTCACCCTCTTCAAGATGAACGTATTTGTTCTCCTAGCAGTCCATACTATATTCAGTGCTCTTCTCCAGCACCACAGCTCAAAGGCATCAACTCTCCTTCCATCACATAATAATAGCATTTTGCTTACTGAAAGTGAAAAAGATGTGAAGAACTTACTGATGAAAATCAAAGACTATAGTTTTCAATATGGATTACCCCTTAACATAAAGAAAGCCAAAATCCTTACAACTTGTTTAACAGGTAATATCACGTTGTGGTTGTGTATTGTAGAGTCAGAATTGAGCCATACCTGACCCTGCTGCGCGTTTTCAGAGGCAGGTAATCACACGGGGTGAGATTGCCCATTGGGATTAGAGTGCAGCTTCTTGCCACTAGTCTACCAGAGCTCCCTAGTAATATAGAGCATAGTTTTAAAAAGTGGACATTGTGTTACATTGAACAAATCTGCTGCAAAAGATCTGTTTAAAGTGTTCAATAGCAAAGACGTTCCTTGAGCACTAAGGTGTGCTTGACATCAGTCACCTCACCTATATGCAAGAACAAAGAATAAGGAAACCGAATGAAGAACTGTTGCATTAGAATAACTGTGTTGATGAAGAATGTTAACTATACCTTGGACAACCAGAAGAATGCACAGATCTTTCTTAGAAAAAGTACAGCCTTGGAAGGGAGGGAAAAACTCTGGTAGTCTAGCCCACAGGGAGTTATGCTGCTAACTCCAATGTCAGGCCACTCTGGCAGCTGGAATCCACCAGCAGCTCCAGGAAAAAGATGGAAAACCTCCTCCAATGCAATTTACAGTCTTGGAAACCCAAGGGAGGGTTAGGAATCACTTGATTCTGACTCAACAGCAATGAGGGAGACCAAGAAAGAAGGGAGGATGGAAAGACACTGTCTCACGTGTTTTGAACACGTTATCAGAATGGGCTAGTCCCCAGAGAAGGCCATTGTGACTGGTAAAGTAGAGGTTGTGCAAAAGAGGAGATCCTTTAAAAAGATGGTGGCAACAGTGAGTTCAAACCTGGCAACCCATGTTTGGATTGGCTGGCACTGGACCAGCCATGTTTTACTCTGTTGTGCATGGAATCACTGAGTCAGAACTGACCCGATGGAACCCAGCAAATGATAACACTCATTATGTATGAGATTATGTAATAAAAAGGTTAACATAGTCTGAGTCAGGTGACTTCTTAGCTCCTGGCTCCTAATTAACTCACTGGATAACCTCTGTCAAATCACTTCTCTGGGCCTAAATTTTGTTAGCTGTGAAACGAAATACTGGCGTAAGTTGTGTTTCTCTTTGACCAGGGTTTTTTTTGTGATCTCAAGTCACAGACTTATGCCAAACAATACCATGGAAATTTCATAGTAGTAGATAGTAGAGACTCACATCCAGATTGCAGAATGTGTCTTTAACATTCCTAAAGTTCTAGTGCAGGGTTTGTGTAACTAGAGATGTCCAAGAACAAAAAGGAGTTCCTCAAAAAGTAAAAAGTTAGAGGATTTTAAGAAGAAAATAATGAGCATTTGAGGGAGATGTGGTACAGTGTAATATATCAGAAGCACAGTGTGCTAAACATCTCCTGTGGTGAGGACTTCTGTTGTCGAGCACAACCTATAGCAACACCATGAACAATAGATCTGAACTCTGTCCTATCCTGTGCCGTCCTCACACTTCCCGACACATCACAGCCCTTTGTGGCAGTGACTGTGTTAATCCATCTGGTTGAGGGTCTTCCTTTCTTTAGCTGACCCTCCACCCTTCCCAACAATAATCCCTCTTGGCCACATGCCCAATGTATGTGAGGCAAAGTCTCATCATCTTTGCCTCCAAAGAGCACTCTGGCTGCACCTTCTCCAAGACATATTTGTTCTTTGGCTATCTATGGGATGTTCAGTGCTCTTTTCCAACACTCCAGCTCAAAGTCATCAATTGTTCTTCTGTCATCCTTATTTATTGTCCAGCTTTCAGATGTGTAGTAAGTGATCAGGAAGACCACGGCCTGAATCAGATGCACTCTAGCCTCCAAACTGACATCATTATGCCTCTTAGAGAAGTTCCTAATTGCAGAATTTCTCAGTGTAATATGTATTATTTCCTTACCATTGGCACCAACAATGTTAATTGTGGATCCAAGTAAGATGAAGTTATTGACCACTTCAATCTTTTCTCCATCTATCATGATGTTGCTTATTGGTCCAGTGGTAAGAATCTTTGTTTTCGAGCTCAGGTCCCAGCCACGGGCGCGCACCGACCCCGCCATACCGGAGGCGGAGTAGCAGCAGCAGCAACAACTGGAACGGCGGGCGGGCGCTGGCAAGGCCC